GTTCAGACGTGTGCTCTTCCGATCTCCCCAAAACCCCAAAACCCCATAAGTTCAAAATTTTGTAAAATCGAACATGAATCTGTATTTAATATAATTTATAAAGATTTAGTATATAAATATTTCTAGATTAAAGACTGATTTTATCTTTTTAACTCTTTATGAATTAATTTTCTAGAGTCTTTTAATAATTTGATATCATTATATAAATGCTCTTTTTGTACCTACTAATAGCGCTTTTTATTTCTTACCTTATCTGGGATAGATATCTGAGAATTGCCTTAAGAATAAGATACTATGAAAAACAAGGAGTTAAATTCCACGAATTCGTCCCGTTCTTCGGAAGTTATCCAGGAATCTGATTGCTGCTAGAAAAGAATCCTTAAACATATCCAGCAGTAGGCTACGTCAACCATTGCTTTGGAGAATCACCGCCTTAATACGTCGGCTTCATTTACTCGAGAGTACTTTGTCTGTTCGTAAATAGACATGAACCTTTATAGGACTTGTTCGTAACTAAGAATAAATTCTTTGACAAGCACCCTTTCACAGCTAGACTATTCAAAAAAACTCTTGGAGATGGAACTCTTTTCGCTAAGTCTGATGAGCTCTGGGCCAAAAAGAGAAAATCTCTATCGTCATCACTTTACAAGTAGAAATTGATCTAAATGGTTGAAACTATGAAACAAATCGCCTTGGAAACGATTAAAGAGTGGGAATAACAGGGTGAAATAGACATAGTAGCTGAAGCTGCCAATTTAATGATGAGAAATATCCTCGCCTGCGTCTTTGGCAGACAAAACGATAACCCGATTGTTAAATACAAAGAAAACGGCAAAATCAGAGATATGAAATTGGGTGAGAGTGTTCAGCTTAACATGGGAAAAGGCATAGAAAGGGAGTTTCAAGCTCATCTCATAATCTTCCCTGAATTGCTTCCCCTCTACATCTCTAAGCAAGATAAAGAGCTAGAATTCAACATTGATCAGGTAATCGATTACTCCAGGAATCTGATTGCTGCGAAAAAACAATAGTTTGCCAAGACAGGTAAATATGAGGGTGAAGATTTGCTAACCATATTGCTCTAAGATGAGATCTTCAATTAGGATGACAGAATGATTATTGATGAATGCTTGACATTTTTAGCAGCAGGTGCCTAGACTACTGCTGTCTCTATTACCAATTTCTTGTGCTACATGGCCTAGAATTCGGATAAACAGTAGAAAATGAGAGACGAGCTTAAGGGTTAACTAAAAAACTTTGGTGGGGACCCCAACGATCTCTCAAAAGAACTAGAAATGGATAAGGTCGAAGATCTTATCTATTTGAAGTATTGCTTCTATGAGTCAATGAGAATCGAGCCTCCAGTTGTGATGTCATCGAGCTGCTAAGTAAATGAAGATATGAATATCTAAGGAGTAAAAATCAAGAAAGATGAAATGATCATTATTAACATCCACTAGATTCATCATAACAAAGATCAATGGATTGAAGATGATAAGTATATTCCAGAGAGATTTGACCCTAGTTCAAAGTATTATCTTACTCCTACTGGTACCGCTAGACATCCAATGTCATTTGTACCATTTATTGGAGGGAAAAGAATTTGCTTAGGCAAAACCTTCGCAGAATATTCATTCAAAGCAATTGTACCCTTGCTCTTGAACAAACATAAATTTACTCTTGTAAACAAGGATCATATGAATAATAAACCCTTGTATGATGCTATTATGTTCAAAAAGCCAGTGATTAAAATGAGATTAGAAAGACTATGATGATTTCAATTAGAATTAATTTGCTAAAACATTTATCCCGACATCCCAGCTATTCTACATGCTTGGGGTTTTGGGGTTTTGGGG